TATGTTTAACGTATTCGTTTATACCATAAACATTTTGGAATATTCGATAGTTGAAAAATGTTTTTTAACTTTTATAATATGTTTTAATTCTGTCATCGTCTTATATATTTATTTTACATACTATACATGTATGTATAGCTAAGTTAATATTGTATAACACATTTAATTATAATTATTGAATTCCACATGTCCACATTGAATAATTGAAAACAAATGGAATATATTTATTACATTTATATGTGTGCACCTGCGATGTACCAATAGTCGAAATAAAAATAAACGATTAGCTCAGTAAATATTAAATGTAGGTCATAGTAATAGTCAAAGTAATAGCTGGATCTCGAGATATACCTATAGATTTTTTTTTTGTGATTATGTACAATACTTCGAAAAAATAGACTAATAGAATATAAAAGTGATAAATTATTTCCGATCAGAAAATCAATCAGCTTTTATTTTAATCGATTAGTATTTGATTTATTAACATCGGATACAAGTTATAAATTATAATTTATTTTTGATAAGTAATCACTAATCCGTGTACAAAATCATTAATAAGTAACAACCCAAACATTATATTATAAAAGTCCCTGTTTTATATTGGATATCTAAATTCAGTTGATATATAAATGTTTAATTTTATTTTCCCTGACAAAGTCGTTATTTGAACATATGTTTGATTTTATAATACAATTTTTTGACGTCAGGAACAAAATATGTCAAGACATTTCTAATAATTTATAAGCAATAACAACAAAAATGTATCTATATTAATCACTAGACATCTATTTATTTTTATTTATTGTATTTATAAGTATGTAATATAAAGTATACAGTTATAATATGAAAGAAAAATAATAAAATATTTACTACCTCACAAAAAAAAAAATATAGGTATATATATTTAAATTAAATGTTTAGTAACTTTGTCTTAATTTATAATTATGATATAAACTTAAATGATAATAATTAAATCAAAGTCATTGGAAATTACATAACATATAAGATAATATTAGGCTCTATTTGTTCAAATAAATATACTAAAATGTATAGTGAATAATTGTCTCATTGATTTCTTATATTATGGTCAATTGATAAGTACAATCAATTTTTTTTTATTCTGTGATATAATAAATGAAAATAAATTCAACACAAAATATAAAGTTGTACACATGTATTTCTTTAAATTCCAAGAATACGCATATTCCTTGTTATATCAATTTGTTTTTCAAAATTTTGATTTTGATTTTTTATGAACAATTGATAAGTGTCGAACAATGTCGTTTATTTGAATACTGAATAATTATTATTATCCCACCGAGTCACTATGCGTGTCAAATCTCATTTTATTAAATTCGGTAATAAAATGTCGTATTCGCATTACTGCACGAATAAGTCTTTAATAATATGTACGACATGGCCGACATGCGTTTACTTCTTATTATATACCTACCGCATATTATAATACATATGTATAGTTTAAGAAAAAAGTTTGCGGTACACGCAAAGAGGGGTTTTATTTTTTTGTCACGTTCAAGTTTTAAATTGTAATGCGTTTGGTGAGAGTCGACGTATTGTGCACCAGGTGAAAATATGTCAAGGAAATTCATGGCCAACAAAAGTCTATGTAATGTTTTATAGCGGTCTTTGGATCCGGGCCAACGTACGAAAAACCGATTGTCACCGTATTCATTTCGATTTCGGTTTATAACACGCAAACGCGTCTGCGGTAGGTACCCACCCCGTACGATATCATTCACGCACGGTTCGCATAAGTCCACCTCGATAAATGTATATAGAAGTTCCCATACTTCCCAAAGTCTCGCATAAATCTTCCACGGGATGCAACAGTGTATACGAATGTCGAATACCGAATAATCGTGGCTGTTGTAGAAATAATTAAAAACGTATTGATTTTTTTCCCATGATAATAATAATATTGTATTATATGGGGATTAACTAGAGAGAAACCCGTACGGAAGGATTCTGTCGGCGATTTTGATTTTAACGAAATCCACATCAAAGGATATATTATTATTATGGTGGCGTGCAATGCATTTCCACATATACCTAGTAATAATGTATAATTACGGTTTATAATGTGTGATTAATAACAATATATTTTAATATGAGGTTGGTCCTAGGCATATTATATTATATAGTTAATTGCCACCGAATGACGTTAGAAAGGTGTGTTGAGTATAATCCTCAAGATTTCGTGCAATCTGTCCTTAAAACACACACACACAAACACGACAAAGATATTATACGGGCTCGTGCGTTTTTAGGGTGGTAGGTTGGTGGTGGGTTATATGCGGTGGGCCATGATATGGCTTGTTGTAAACAAAATCCGCCATTAATAGCAATTTTTAATTGAGATAAAGGGTCAGTGAAGGTGTATAACGGTTGCAATGGACGAGTTGGGATAAAATGCTTGCCTTTGGACATTTTTAAGTTCACCACCGCATACCTATAAAGAACACACATTACACGCATGCAAATATAAATAGATGCACTCATTTGTACTGTCCATTAAATTGTACGTGTCAAATCTGCTGTGGAATATATTATGTATTATTATTCATCATTAAATTGTATTTAATCCCACCATAGGTACATGTACTCTTCATAATATAGGTACCACTTAAATGGATTTAACCTAACCTGTTTTGTATATGCATCTGTTACACAAAATATATGTAGGTTTAATCTTGTGTTTTTCCGATTTTTGACATACTTTGTTCATTTTTATGATAACTATTGATGACAATAAGTGTCCAGTTTTTGCACCATAATAATATATTATTTTCATTTGTATTCCTGAAATGATCTACATGAATAACTACTGTGTTTGTAATAATTATTATCTAGTTTCAGGATGGCTCAATGTTATTTAAAATCCATATTATATTTACGAACACAGTAACTTCTTTATTAGACTATGAGCATAGCGATGAATGTATTGATTTTAAAATTATGTGTGTGTTTTTTTCCTTGTGTTTGACTTTTGACTGCAGTATGATTACACGATTTAAAGTAGAAAAATGTTTCAGTCTTGAATTTTGAGGGGGGAATTTTAAGAGCAATATATTTAAATAAGAGGGTAATAGATTGATCGCCTCCTCTCAAAATCGATTTTCGTATGATGATTGAATTTAAATTTAACACACCCATTACGGTGACCTACACAATGACGAGTTACACTCGAATGATCCTACTGTACAGCACAGCGGTTACCTACTTTTTCCTTTTTTTTATTTTGTATTTGTTAATTTTTTTATCACTGACCATGACGCCTAACCTTTTTTTTTAGTGTGGTTAATGTGATCACTACTCAGTAGTATAACATTTGAACCTTATTTTGAGCTTGGTGATCCGCAGCCATTGTTATTGTTTCGCTGGAACTATAATACCTGTAACCTTTGGAAAAGGACACGGCTGGCCATAAAAATTATTGATTATAAAACACATGATATTTTTCTAATGTGGGTAGGTAACAATTGTTAGAGTTATACGTAGGTCGATAATATTATACTAGGTTTATAGGATAGGGGAAAAAATAAACACATGCGTCTGGAATACAAATGGATTTATTTAAATAAATACTGGTACCTATATAAAGGGCTGAAAATGCATTATATATATTATGTTCCACTGGGAATTGATAAAAAAAAACGTTTTTGGTTGTCGAATTTGTGAACCACAAATGATTAGAATAAGACCAAACTAGAATTTCCATTTTCTCAATATCAGATGAATATTTTTTACGTGTATTTATGTATGTCGTTCGGGATATGAAATTCAATTAACTGAATTAATATTTAATGGCAATGGTCACATTGGTTTTATCTGTGTAAATTGGTTTGTACAATTATTTATTAAGTTATAACTATCTTTGACTACAACTGATTACTCAAACTCAAGAGTGGTGGACCAGTGACTCGCTCAGAAAATAAGTACAAATTTTTTTTGGTTTAATTTGTTGTCAATTTAAGCCGTGGGGGCAAAGGCCAATGGTGGGCAAGCTAATGAAAATAATTAACGGTGGCAAGTTAAGTTAATTCAATTAAATTGCCTTCAGTTAAGTTAAAAGTTAACAAAGAAAAAAAATTTAACTAGATAAGTTTAAAATTAAGATAAAAAGTAAAATTATCTTATCTCAGTTAAAAAAAGTAAATTTTTTTGAAGGTACAATATTTTTAAGTCATAAACTACCATAGTATTTTGTTATCCACAAACATTTACCAAGACATTTAAAACTTTGTAAAAAATTAGATTATTGTAGGTAATATAGAATTCGAAAATAAAATACTAATAATAAAATACAAATCAGTATTGCCTAGTTGATTAAGCGTGACTAGAAAATAAAATTAACATAACTGCAGGACAATGATAATTAACTATAAAAAGTTAAGTTACAACAATAACAATTTTAACTGAATAAGTTAATAAGTTAAAAACAAAAATAATTAACTAGTTAAGTTAAAAAAAAATTAACTTTTTAACAAATTTGGGCGTCTAGACCTCTAAAACGTGGGACGTGCTATAATTGTAAATGCCTCAAACATCCGTGGCACCTCGTTACTAATTATAACGAATTAGTAAATATTATGACGTAAGTCATAGTTACGATCAACATTTTTTAAAATGAATATTTTATAATTTTAGTTGGACGTATACCTAGGAAAAACAAGGGGTGCTAAATTTGAACTCGGGGGTGCTAAAGACCTTTTTGCATCCCCCTAGTTGCTGGGGGCACGATTGTGGACAAAAAGTGTTGGTCATGGTCACTATAATTTCCCTAACAATTTCAATCATCGTCCAGTGACACGTGAAACGAAATATTATTTTCCCAATACAAATACTGTTGTGACTATAGCTGTTGTTTCAAATGCCTCGGGACGAGCATCGTCAATTACGATCAAATGAGCAGTCGTAAGATGACTACGGAGTAAACACGGAAGTCCAAAACTACTATTATTTTATTGGCTACTCGAAAATCATTCGGTTGAAAACCGGCAGTCGCACCGGGTCGGCCGGAAGCACAGCAATGTCGGAAACGCAATATTGTTTGAACACATTCGAAGTAACGTGCATTTTAAATTCCACGTGTTCTGCGAGTTCGGATTTGCCACGGAGTCCTGCCTAGTGTCTGTTCCTTCACTAGTTTGACAATAGAATATTCCAGTTTTGATTGAATGCTGGATAACTTCCAAAGAGTTAATGTAAATCAAGTGCATCGTCCGTGTCGTTGTCTGGGTCCGATGAACGCGGCCATATAGGCTCCGAAATTTCTGTCGTTCGGAAGCACAGCGTTCGACCTGATTTACAGTTTACGTCACTACTGTTGCTGCTACGTGCGTTTAAAATAATATTATTTACCGACCAGTCTAATATACCGTGATATTATAATATTATTAATCGGCACTCACACATCTACGCAATTAGCTACTCGATATTTTCTTCCTCTCCACTCAAAATTCACGTTGCTCGAATATTTTCATATAAGAACTTGAAGCACTATATCGACATTTTATAATATTTTATTCTATAAAAACCATATGCGTGCCGAGTACAACCAACCTCGACTACTTACGCCGCAGCATTGTTGTCATATTTCCCGCTCGGAAAAACCGTCGGAAACGCAATATTGTTTGAACACATTCGAAGTAACGTGCTTTTTATGCCATGTGTTCTACGAGTTCGGATTTGCCACGGAGTCCTGCCTAGTGTCTGTTCCTTCACTAGTTAGACAATATATAATATTCCAGTTTTGATTAAATGCTGGATAACTTCCAAAGAGTTAATGTAAATCAAGTGCATCGACGATTGTCCGTTTCGTCGTTTGGGTCCGATATAGGACGCCGACATTTCTGTCGTTAGGAATCCTATCGCAGTGTATATAAGTACCGTATAGTGAGTTGATCTCGCCGCGTTAAATTCGACAGAAAATCATCGAGTCAATCGGACTCCCACTCATTTATTTGATAGTACTTTTTAGAGAATTTCCCAGCTATGTATAGGTAAACCTGGCTGCACTTCTGATAATAGCCACAGACACAATACGAGAAACCGCTAATACCAACGTGTTTAGGCTATTGACATTAGACAGTGTAAAAATGTACTACTGTTAACTGTTTTTGTCGGAACTGTAATACTTATGCATGAGTATGATTGTAAGAAAAATAGATTTTTGGTACTATTTGTTTTTATTTTTACACAGTTCTGAAATAGTTAACAGTAGAGTCATTCAAACATAACAATATAGAGACCGGGTTTAAATAGTTGGCGGAAAAGCTCGGAGATCCCATAAAAACAACTACGTCTTGACCCCGGAAGCCGTATTTTCCCGGAAAACGGTAATCGAGAAATCGTGGTTTTCATTGAAACTTTCAACTAGGAAACTGTATATTACTGTAATATTACATTTTATTTTATTTTTAGGCTTATGCAACAATTGTACTCCCAATATTGTACCAAGCCATTAATAAATGGTTCCTTTGATAACCTATTTATAGAGTTGGTGCCATTGTAGTTACTAAAGTAGTACCTCCAAGCTTAGAAATGTGCAACCCTAAAATATCAAAGCCTTTCTTTTATGTTATGATTGTTTTCCAGTAAATATAATTTGTATGTTGTATATGGAACCATGAATTTATACCATAGGTAGAAAAATGTGTTCTCAGTTATATATATTTTCACTGAACGTATATTGTACAAATTTATTTATTTATTTTTGTATTTTTTACAATATATATATTAAATTATATTACTTAGGCTACGACGAATCTACAGAAATCACTTTGAAATGATTAATAAATTAATAAATATTATTAAATGTTCAGAGAGATATTACAAATAATAGTTTAAAAATCCAACAAGTTTTAAACTTATATGTATAATTTACTTTCAAGAAAAATTATGTCGCAGTAGTTAATTGTTATTCAAATTGTATTTTTATAAGTTGTATTTGTTTATCACTATTTAATGGGGGTGGGGTCAAAGCCGAACCGAATCTGTGAGCCTTTTACAATTCATGCATTCCCAAAAAATATTGGTTTAGTTGCAACTACGTTACAATATGGTCCTTTAAAATTGTACAATTTATAAAAGATTTATACAGTCTTAAATTTTTCACGCTGGAATGAGAGAAACAGTTTTGAATTGGATGGTTGGAAGGTTGATCGGTACTGTTTTTAATCACCGTCTAGGTAATATTTTTCTATTTTCTCCACTCGGAAGACAAAAATTTTTTTTAAAACATCAATCGGATAAATATCATTCTAGTGAGTTATTTTGCTTTCATTGTAAATTCGTATTTTTCAGTTAAAGTAAACACGTAGGTCGGTGTATCTTGTGGCATATCTACCCTTGTATCTACATAATGCACGAACGTCACTCGGTGATCTACCTAATGCTGTGAATTATTTAAATATATTGGACAACATCGTATTTTATTCAGCGGGAATTGCGATGGAAACTCGGAATGTTCAAATGACATTTTCAATTATGGATTGTTATGCAACTCATTTATACTCATATTTTTACGTGAGCATATTTGTTTAGATCTGAACGTATATAAGTAAATTAAATAGCATTCTATGTGAGTATTTTATTATTTTATCGGTTTGATTACGCATTTAATTTTATTTGTAAGTAATAAAAAAAATAACTTACTAGTAAATCTATTCGATTTTACACTCGTAAATAAGCTTTCGTTTTAGGTGCATGCATATTTACATTTACAAACATACATTTAATAATAATAAATATTATAATATCATGTAACAAAAAGATAAGTTTTTACATTAAATATAAAGCACTATTGTGAAGTTACCAAATGATTATTAAATGTTAAAATCATTTACCATAACGAGAGCTATAAAGTTGAAAATAAATTTGAAAAATAATAAGAAAATATTATCAGTTGATTTTGTTAATTTTCTGTATGTCTTTGTAAATATATTAAGTGAAATTCAAATGATTTTTACTTACTATATATTTATATATACCCAAATACTAATAGAAAATGAATAAATAAACATATATATACAAGCACTTTTCATGAATATGAATGTAAAACGACTAACAAGTATGCCTTTAAAAATGTTTATATTTATATTTTATAAAACGAAAAGATTTAAATAAATCGATGGGCTAATAGTTTGTAGTCGATTGTAACTGCTCTATATACACAGCGGAGATAATGACCTACATGCCCATTCACGTGTAGGTATATAGTACATAGTGTATAAGCTAACAGTGAAATAATCTAATAGAATAGGTTGTGTTATGTATCAAAATATGAACGCATAATATATTATAATATTATCTATCGTATTGAATAGCTTCTTTTTGTAATGAGATGGTGTGAACATAAAGTCAAAATAACAATAATTTTGTATTTTCCTTAAAATTACTTTTTTATAGGGTGTTGGTCGTTAAATACAGTTATTTTACTTACTCAATCATAATTTCAATAATAAAAAAAAAAAACCACTTTTATAAAAAAACTCTTTTTATCATTTTCTACGTATTTGAGATGTATACTGTACAGTGTACACGTTATTACTTATTATATTACACATGTTGTACTTTCTACCATATATTATTATGAAGTGTGTTCAATGCTTAGATATAGATTTTATCAAAAACTCGTTTTGAATTATTGAATTTTCTAATTTTGACTTCTCAAAGTACCAATGAAGGTAAAGTAGGTATCAATCAATAAAGATCCAATTTATTCCTACCAGTTACCACATAGGTATATACTAAAAATTTAATATTTTTACTGCACCAAAATAATGATGACAGACAAAAAAAACAAAATTAACACTTATTATTGAAAAATCATTAAATTCGTCGATCTGCTTGAAATGTCCAATACATTGAGGACTTTTTTCCGGTATTTCACAACCCCGAGGTACCTTTCGTATTATTTACAATCGTATCACCCACATTAAATTTATAGGTTTCATTTGGAACTCGACTCTGTGGCGGATCAAGAAATTAATTTTCCGTCACTCCGAAAGGATTTTAAACTGTTAATAATACTACTGCTAACAATAATAGTTGTCATCGAAGTCGGTTACCGAAAACACATCTCGCCGAGCCTCCGTTTCCCGAGTAAATCTAGTTTCATATCCTCTCACGTCATGTGACTAGCATTCAATATAATATAATAATAATAATATGCACACAATATAGATACGTCTACGCGGCATAAATAATACGAATAACATACGATAAGTTTATTAATTATTATTATTATAATATACCGCGTCGAAAGTTTACACGTCGGATATTACTTATACAGTATATTATTACTATTATTATTTCAATAATGATAACATTATACACAATACACATTGTAATATCACATGGTTTCCGAGTGAATAAAGTCGTTTCCCCCTAGGGGATTACAAGCAATCGGTAATAATCGCGCGGTGGCGTATTGGCGACAGATGCAGCTTTGTGTCTCGCGGGAGTATTACACGCGTAAATTCAACTTGATTTCTTTTACAAACAAACACACTGGTCACCCGGTTATTTGTTATTTTTTTTTTGTTTACACGTCTGTGCATTGGTCTTAAGTCTTAACACCACACGAGTACCTTTTGAAATGTTCGATATTGTTATATTGTGACATGGTGTGTTTTTAAATTCTAAATATTTAGAAAGTTTATTTATTTTTATCGTAAAAAAACAAGTCCAAACGAAAATGTATTGTAGTAATTTTGTATACCTATTTTATGTTTTGAGTACATTTAATTTCAGATAGGTATAATTATTTTTATACTATATTATAAGGTAATATCTATACTATACATTATCATATTGATTGACAAATCACATAAGAGTGATTAACCTTTGAGAATTTTTTTTTTGTGAACTTTGATCTGAATAAAAAATTTATTTCTTATGGAAATAAATCAAGCAATAATACAATACAATAATATTATTTATTTTATTTCCCAAGTCAAATTATTTATAAAATTATGTTGACAACAATATTTGTCGATAAATGAAAATATTTTTATTTTTATAAGAATTACACAATCTATACTAAGGGCACAATACGCGTGTTTGAAGAAAGTAAACAAGCAGGATAATCAGGGGGTAATAATTCACCCATTAGCAACACTTAGCATGAGCACAGATTATGTTAATCTATGACTTAGTGGAGAGAAAGAGTGAAGTGTGTAAGCGAGGTATAAGATCGTTAGGAGTTATAAGATTA